CGCTGAAGAGGAGGTTTTTGTCACCTATCTGAATATGATTTTTCGAGTCGTGTTTGTTTTGCTCTTGTGCACAGCACTCAACGCCCTCAAATGTGAGTTCTAGTTTGATTTTTTACGAAGTTCCGTTAGTGTTTGCTTTATTTGTCCAGGCAGATGATAGTTTTAGTTTTCATGCTCAGTACAAAGGACACAAAAATGGGCTGTTACTTGTTTTTTTTAAATACATAATCCATGTAAATCAAAGATGGTCATTCCCTAAGCACTGACTTCGTCAGGTTTTAGAGAAAGTTCATCGTCTCCGGATCGATAGGCGGTGTTAGTACTAATCCGCAAAAAGCAAAAAAAACATACGCTTTAACTTTCCGGTATTTTGCTTTGGAAGATGATGATATCCGTGGTTGTGTGGAAAAGAAAACGGTTTGGCACAAATTATCAAGTTCGGTACTCTTGTATAGCTCCTGCCTGTCAGGGGTAAAATATGAATGAGTCTAAATTTCACATACAGCCTTACAACCCCCAAATCTACAGACATTTCACACAGCGGTCCTCAGTACCAGATGCGCAAATTGGGTTTTCTCTTCGGTAGTGGGACTATTAGCGGCCTTCACCCAACGCGTTCGTCTTTTTTCCACAGGAACTCGACTTGAATATCATGTACGCGCAGTCAAATAGATGAGCGTAGGAGTAAACAGTAAAACCGAAAACCTAAGCTTCCGAGTGGTTAGCTCTGATTGCTATCTGTCTTTTTTAACAATTCTTTTCCTTGTGCTGCATTCCCTTATACCTCGGAATTTACGTAATTGCAAGTCCTATCCCTGAAAGTGTTGAGTTCTCAGCCATTTACTTTCCGAAATATTTTTGCATTGAATAAAATATATTGAAATATACTTCCTACTTTCAGATATCCTAGTGTTTCACGTGTTAATGTTCCTCTCCTGATGCACAGAAATTCCACTAGAATTTAGCAAGACCCGGTTTTCGAGTATTTAGTCGCATAAGATAATGCGTATGAGTTCCGATGTTGTGTGGGATTTGTCCATATGCAAAGCGTATAAGAACCCAAGTTCAGACATCTATAAAAAAAATACCAGTCGCATTTTAGTAACATTTCCCCATGTAGAGCTCTCGATATTCTGTCTGTGTGTAGTTAGAAAAAAAGGACTTGATGGGAATCACTGAGAAAATATGGACTGATGAGACTAAAGGACACGTTTTTTATATTCCATTTCCACATCATGAAAACATATCGCTAGCCTTAACCTCTTAGTGGAAATCCCAGGAGGTAATTTGCCATCAAAGGCTTGATACTAGTCATTGGTTACGGCCCACCTACGTACTTCAGACCGCAGATAAACATATGTATTGGAAAGGACCGTTCTCATTTAGGCATAAACCAAATAGCAAAGAAAGAGACCCAATTCTTGCCGTCTGCTAACCTAGTGGTGCAGAGGGTTTTACAATTCTTTTAACCATTCAATTTTCGATAAAAAATGCCGAGTATTTGAAGAAGCAGCTCATCAAGTCTGATTGTCTATGCGGTTTATTTTTTTAGCCGCAAATCCCATTTGCGACTTGCCAGCCGAGCGTGGTGGCTGCCTGGGCGTTCAGCTGAGCGTCTACTATGACTCCAAAGAGGGCAAATGCAAGCCCTTCATCTACAGCGGCTGCGGCGGCAACGAGAACAATTTCATGAGCAATGCTGACTGCATGAAGGCCTGCGGTGGTGGCCGCAGTTAGGTGGCGGAATTTGGTCCTGCGGTCATTTACTGATTGCCTATGCTTCTACTGTCAATGATTGTGAAAGACATAATTTTCAAAAAATTTCTAAAAATACATTTTTTGCGGCCTATGCAGAGTTGTTCTACTTACTTGGTTGGTAAAGTAGAAGATGGTGCGGTCGCTGGAACAAGAAGTTTATTAACCTGATGCTTTGGATTCCCAGTTGAACCCAGCATCAGAGACGGTTGCAGATACCATCCCCGTTTCTTGGAACTCGCATGTTTGCTTCTAACACACAGCATATAATGATATGAGTATAGTATAATGCCTAAAAAGGTTTTTGGCAAAATTGATACATTACAGAAGTTGGTCGGTTTTTCTTCATCATAGGAAGTAGTTTTGTAAGCCCAAAATAAATAGTAACAGGTAGCATCCAACAAGCTTGAGTGCTTATTATCTTAGCACAAAAGCAACAGTGAATACCAAACAATACCCCTCCAAATTATTTGGACCACGTAGGATAATTATCTGAAGGTTTAAAAACAAGAAAGGGCGTCAGAGAAAATAATGCTTAGACTTACGTATTGTAGAACTAAGCCAGTCTCCATTCTGGGCTAATATACTGAATAAAAGGAGGCCTTTCGAAAAATTCGATTTGGAAACGGTATAGAGAAGAACCCCACTTAAATGTCAGTAGACTGCGCATAGTGCCATGTGCTATTTATGATAAAGGAATTTTTATGGGCGGAACAGCACGCTAGATAGTAAGCTGACGGAATGAAAGAAAACCCAAAATTTCCCGGATTTATACCGAAAGTCTTATTTACTGAGAGCAGTTATTAATCAATAAACAAAAAGTTTATTTCAGAAAATAGCGGATTTTGAGTTCTAAAACAGCCAGCAAATGTGTGCCGAGACAAAACCCCCTATTGCACGATCCACGGTGTACTGATAGTTAAGTGGGGTCCTTCTCTATACCGTTGCCTTCGATTTTTCTCGTGGCCATAAAGTTCCATACGGCGAACCACCTGGGAGGTGCACTGGACCAGCACTAGGCAAGATGAGGGACTGGATTTTTGTCATTTCGAATATGCACTCATACCAAATGTCACAGATGAGGAGCCTACTGGCACGCCCAGGCGCGGGTTCCTGCAGCGCCAGCCACCCGCGTCCAATGGCAGCACTAGATGGAAGACCGGCTCAGACTGCGGATTGCTGCTCGAGCGTGGGGGGGAGGGGAGAAAACGCGGTCAACTCTGAGTTACCGTCCATGAGGCACCTAGCGCATCTTTCACGCCATAAACAATCTGACATGCTAATAGAAGCGAATAGCCGAGTCCCAGGAAGTAGTCTTGAAGAAGGAGACACGATCGCCGGGACAAGAGCTTTATTAGCCTGACGTTTCGGATTCCTACTCGAATCCATCATCAGAGACAAAAGAGCAGAAACGGGTGGTTGTGCCGGGTGGGCCCGGTATGTGGATGATACCTTCGTCGTCATCGAACGGGATCAGGTGTTGACATTCCAAGAACATCTCAACGCCGTCTTCCCGGACATTCAATTTACGATGGAGGAGGAAGAGAACAACCAGATGACCTTCCTGGATGTCCTCGTATGCCGAAAGGATTGTGATGGACTAAAGACCAAAGTGTTCAGGAAAGCGACAAATACGATGCAAGTACTGAACTTCAACAGTAACCACCCAATCAGCCACAAACGCAGTTGTGTAAGGACGCTCTATCGGCGTGTCGAAACGCACTGCAGTGAGCCGGAAGACAAAATTGCTGAACTACAATACCTCCGACGGGTCTTCAAAGCCAATGGCTACCCGCGCAACTTCGTCGACCGGTGCATACGCAAAAGGGACGAAAGGCCTAACCGCACGGACACCAAGTCTTGGCGGGCACTTCCGTATGTCAAGAACGTTTCGGAAGCTGTCGGCCGCCTTCTCGCACCACTTGGGGTTGGAGTGGCACACAGACTGGAGGCAACCATCAGGCGTCTGATCATGAAACCGAAAGACCCACTGCCACGGCTAGAAACGTCTGGAGTCGTTTATCGGATCTGGTGCAGTTGCGGACAAAGCAACTACGTCGGAGAAACCGGAAGACAGCTCCGAACGAGAATGGCCGAACACGCGGCAGCGGTGCGCAGAAATGACGCCAGCTCTCAAGTTGTGGCTCATTCGACGAGACCCGGCCACACATTTAAATTCGATGAGGCCGAAATTCTCGCAAGAGGTGACAACCGAGTGAGCCGAGAGCTACTGGAATCATGGTTTACTGGCCCCCAGTCCATCAACAAGTGCAACGATCTTCCCATTCAATACAGCGTGCTGAGACTTCGTCTAGGCGGAGTAATTGGCCACGCGGGGAGCGCACTGGTGAACACTCTTCCCAACACCCGGGTCAACGCATCAGATGGTCGAGCAATCATCACGCCAACATCCAACGCACGTGATGAAATTGCGGCAATTATCGACTCGAATGTCGGCCATCAAGCAATGATCACCCCAAGTGTGACAATCCCGGATGAAGGGGGAAGCCGTGAACGTTCATAGGCAGGCGGTAGCATGGCTGCTGCATCCTATAAATACCGCAGCCCCTTGTGCAACAACCACCCGTTTCTGCTCTTTTGTCTCTGATGATGGATTCGAGTAGGAATCCGAAACGTCAGGCTAATAAAGCTCTTGTCCCGGCGATCGTGTCTCCTTCTTCAAAATCTGACATGCTTTTAAACTGTCGGGGTGCCCTTGCCATGCTGCTAGCTGACGGGATAAATTGGCCCTCTTTTCAGGACACAGAGTCAGGCTGCAGGGACTGCTTCTCATGATAGTCCCACTCAGTTCACATTCTAGTCACCCATTCGATCTTTCCGCGAAGCAGACGTGCGTGTGGCCCGCCTAGACGAGCGGCCTAGTCTTGCCACTTCTGCAATCCATCTCGCCTCTGATTTTTACGATTCCGACTTCACACATGGCGCCGGTGACTAAGGGAGTAAAGAGTGTAGTTAACGCGACGCAAGTCAGCTATCATAGTAAACTAACTTACGCGCAAGTCGCCACTCCCGCGTCCACCCCGCTGCGGGCACAGTGTGTAAATTGTCGGTTACGACGGACAAATTCGTAGGCAATGTGCACAATGAGGTTGGGAAGACTCGCCAAGGAGACGTCGTTGCATCTCCGTCTTCGCAAAATCTGATCATATTCATAAGATATTCGCCCTGTATGCGTAAATTAACCTGCTCTATGCCAGTATAGTCAGCGACCAATCTCAGAAAATTTTAGCTTTTGATGAGGAGGGATTACTCAGGTGGTGGCCTAATGTTACATATCTCGTGACACGAACCCACAATATTTTGAAGTCGTTCGAACGTTGACCTTTAAATTCACTTCCTTTCGATCCCCCGAAAAAAATTCGCTGGGTAAAAATGAATTTTTAAGTAGTTTGCGTTTTTTACGTTTTCTCTCGATAATCTTATTGATTCGAATGCACCCTATTGAAAGACAAAACAAACATATCCTTTCTCTCAATCATATGGTAGCAAATCGTGTTATTGTTACACGTTATCTTCAAAGAAAGTGTATATTTATGTTTGGTAAATGTTTTTTAAATCCGAATAGTTTTGTGCCGGATCTGCTTTTACATGAGCACTTAAGAAATTTAGCCTACAAGCCGCATACTTTCCGCGTAAGAAAAACCGTAAATTCCTCCGTACCTTTGAGAAAATACCATATAGACTTAGTGAGACTTTTCAAGGGATGCAGAGTACGCTGTAAATTTTATGAGGAGCTTTAATAAACGAACAGGTACGGTGCTATATGAATAAACATTAAGCGGTCTTACAAGCCTTCTACATAGAAGCTTTTTTAAAACCAAATTTACCCTTCCTTCAAGTATAAACCATAAAGATGAATTGTTTCGCTGCCAAATGTAAAAAAGGCTATCTTTGTGTATGGCAATAGAAGCGAAGAAACGAGTCCCAGGAAGAAGTCATGAAGAGGGAGACACGACTGCTGAGACAAGAGCTTTATTAGCCTGACGTTTCTGATTCCTGCTTGAACCCATCATCAGAGACAAAAGCAAATACGGGTGGTCCATGCACAAGGGGCTGCAGTACTTATAGGATGCAGTTACGATGTTACCGCATACCTATGAACACCACGGCTCGCCCCTTCATCCGGGATTGTCGCACATGGTGGGCTAAATGTTGATGGCCGAAATTCGCGTCGTTAATTGCTCCAATCTCATCACGTGCGTTGGGTGTTGGTGGGATGATTGCTCGACCATCTGACGCGCTGACCCTGGTGTTGAGAAAAGTGTTCACCTGTGCGCTCCCTGCGTGGCTCATTATTCCGCCTAGGCGAAGTCTCAGCACCGAGTATGGAAGGGGAAGATCATTTCACTTTTTAATGGATTGGGGGCCGGTAAACCATGATTCAAGTGGCTCCCGGCTCATGCAGTTGCCAATTCTTGCGAGAATTTCAGCCTCACCAAATTTGAATGTGTGGTCGGATCTCGTCGAATGAGCCGCAACTTGAGAGCTAGCATCATTTCTCCTCACCGCTGCAGCGTGTTCGGCCATTCGAGTTTTGAGTTGTCTCCCTGTTTCTCCGAAGTAGTTGCTTTGTCCGCAAATGCACCAGATCCGATTAACGACAGTGGCAATGGGTCCTTCGGTTTTATTAGCTGACGCCTGATGGTTTCCACCGGTCTGTGTGCAACTCCAACTGTTCACGTGTGCGCTCCCCGCGTGGCTAATTACTCCGCCTAGGCGAAGTCTTTGTGTCTATTTCCCGTCGAATATACTTGAATTTATAAGAACATCGGAAATCAATGTGAAAATGAACACTAATGTGGTAGTCATGTTTGTCAAGTGTAGTTTTTGACAGGACGTCGAAACGACGTGCGGTAAAAAAGCAACATCCCGAGGAGTCCGAGATATTGTGGGGTTATTCCGCGAAATTATTAATACTAAAACCCCCCACCTAAGCAATCCCGCCTAATCAGAAATGCGCTTCAAAATTTTAGCTAACATTTTTATGAGATCGGTCATTCATAGTATTTATTGTCTTTCCGGCGACCTTTCCACGACATCATGAACGCAAGAACTCAGCTGATAGATGGTTTTTGCGTCTGGGCAGCTGCAAATTTGGAAATGGCTCACCCCAACACCCTCAAATCCCAACTATTACTGCCAAATCCAGAAATGTACGGACTTTGGATGAGTACTTTGAAACAAAATTGCTTCCATCAAAAAGCCACTAATGAGTTTGCGTAAGTGTTTTATACGATCATGTCCAGGGGCATTGCAGCGAACCGGAAGGCGTGCTGGCTTCGGTAAAATATTTTCGACGGGTGCTTATTGCGACCGGTTACTCGTCTAACGCAACGTGTAAACGAAATTCATTCTGTCCCAAATTCGGCGAGCACTCCCATGCGTTCAGGATACCTTGGAAGTCGCCAGCTGTCTTCTCATGCCACTCGGAGTTCGAAATGCACACTGGCCAAATACAACCATCAGGTCTAAGTCTATGAGGCCTAAAGACCCATTGACATGATTGCAACGTCCGAAGTCGTTTACCTAACCTGGTGCAATTGTGGAGAAAGCAACTACGTCGGAGAAACTAGAAAACTACCCTTGACGCGAATGGCCGAACATGCAGCAGCAGCCAGATGGAATGACGCTAGCTACCAGATGACGGTCCATTTGAAGGGATCCGGTCACAACTTCAAGTTCGATGAGGTCGGAATTCTTGCAAAAGAGCCACAACCGCGTGAACCGTAGGCTGTCTGAGTCATGATCCCCAAGCCCGCATTTAACTAACAAACGCAGTGGCCAGCAGTCGCGGTGACGGAAAGATAAATTACAAGTGGGAAAATGACAGGTATGATACTACATATGATGCACAATACCTCAAATAATCAAGTTATGATACTGTATGAATGGACGTTGCACGGTCTTAAAAATCTCATAATAAGAATCCTTATTAAAACCTAATTATACACCTTTTTCAACTATAAAATGCAAAGGTGACGCGATTTTCTATCAAACAACCGAAAAAAGCATATTTTGTTCGTCTTTTCTACAAAATATATTTGAATCTGCAGGACCATCAAAGGTAAATGTAAAAATACATGGCACGTAAGCAGTCATTTTTTTTACCAGGTACAGTTTTCACGGAAGATTGAAAAGCAGTGCATTCAAAAGCTGACATCTTGCCAAGTCCGAAATATTATAAGACTATGCCGTGTGATAATAAAATTACAACCGCGCCCAAGTAATTCGTCCTAATCGAAAACACTTTTTTGAATTTCAGTCAACATTTCAGGAGATCGGTCACTCACTGTATATTTTCATCATATCGCTTCCGATCACCCTCGGTCAAATCCGAATTACCGTCCCGCCCTTATTTATGAACACCGCAAAGCCAGCAATGTGTTTTTAATAAACAACATCTTTAACAACATATGAAATCTTAGTTACCTAATTTTTCGCATTAAATAACTCAGCAAATGTAACTGATTCTTCCGAGCAAAAGGAGACTTCCCGAAGCTGCAGGCATGTTTCCCAATCAAAGTCCCCCAATGTCCGCTGAAGTAAATGTCAATACCAATATCTCAAATAGCAACTTGTGTTTAGAAGAAACTGAAACCCAAGAAATGATGTTCCAATTATTGCATGTTTTTTTTTTTGCTATATGAGCATAAAATATGGATAGCAGGATGCGCTCACGCTTAAAAGACAGGTTACGTACAAAAAGTTTTTAACTTGCCTATGAATGCTCGTACGTGCGGAGGTAGAGACATTGTAGTCCGTTGGCTGGTAGTAAGCCCTTCACTATTGTAGGACAAATATGCAGTGTATTTTATAAACACTAACTAAAAGTCAGTCGAAATACAGAGATGTACATATCCAAAAATACGGGTGAATTATTTATTTAAATCTTCAGGTAAGCAAGAGCTCTTAAAGGCCAACTTTCTCGAGTGGAGTGCAAACCTAAACTCAAACGCACTGTCAGGGAGAAGAATAGCAAACTATTTATGAGTCACGTTTACCCGCCAAACCTACTGCTACGTCTGGAATCCTCCAAATCTGGTACAATAATTTGACTGCCCAAACAGGATATCCTAAGTAATACATGTAGAACTCACCGGATGACTACCAGGTCCACGTAATAAATAGGTGGTATCGCAATACCCATTCAATCATATTGATGCAAATCTGGATCCTAAAACCTACCCTAATATTTACAGGTAATATGGAGACTTTCATCCAAAAAGCTTGGACATTGACTTATTCCGCTTAGAATTAAGAGTACCACGCAGCAATTTGTCTTCGAATAATGTGCAGATATGTGCAGTTTTCTAGAATCCAAGTGAATTATTTGTTTTCCTTGTCTGCCAATTTAGATTTGTAATGCGACCTGCAGACTACTTTGGTTCGTAATGTTATGGACTCTGCTGGATATGCGTAATGCTGATTGTAAACGGCTGAGGAATGTTAACGAGTCAGAGGTGAAAATCATGGCTTCTGTAATCTTGTCGGCTCCGTAAGTTT